ATTTAACTCATAGAAAGCACTGGCGAAGGTCCGAAACAAGAACTATTCATTTACAAGTGCTGGTTAGCTTACTTAGTTTTAGTGGAATTGCAGGAACCAAAGACGTCTGATTGAAAATTTCAATGGTGCAAATTGATGCTATCTGTGTTCCTGATACACATAAAATTCTTTAAAAAACCTCTTTACAATTTCTTTTAATGGCTTGAAATATACTGGATTAGAATTGAAATATTTTATATAAATATTGATAATAGGAAGTGAAATTGGAATTGATTTGCTTCTCAAACATCTCTCAAACTATTGATCTCAAAATATTTTCTTAACTTTCTAAAAACACAAATTGAACAATCACATTTCTATGTCTATCAATTAGAAAATTCTAAAAACTTCTATAGACACCAAAAGTGACATTGAAAATTTGTTTTGAATTTTTTGGGAAAAAAATAATATTTGTCTTTGCTTCTGGAGATAGACTTAGTCAAAGTTAAAGCAAATAAAAAGTAACTTGTACTCAGATGAAGTAAAGGGTCATGTTTGCAACAATCTTTGAGAGATGTTAATATTCATTCAATAACAGATCTTCAATGAGGGTCTAATAACACTTATTTTTTCATTGAAAATCATTTTCTAGGTGATTTAATTCACTATCTTTCTACTTGAGACTCATCCACCTTGACTGACCCTAGGGCCTGCTTGTTAACCCTACTTAAACCCTATTTTATGATAAACATAAAAACAATTTCTAGATGGTTTAATATGCCCCAGTTATATGTTATATTCCCTGTATATATCTAGAACGATTGTATCTAGTTTGGACTAATGAAAGGCAATGTAATGTCACACATTGTGCAATGGGGCAAATTTTTCAGACATATCAGAACTAGGCTATTCTTTTTCGCTAAGATCAAAAGATCTTTAAAGTTCGACGTGGCCTGTTATAACACGGGTTTTTCAGGGACAGAGTAATCATTTCAAATATATATGCTCTTAATAAGGGGCTAACGGCACAATACACCTACCAACAAACAAGTGAACTTTAAATAGGTCTGTAACAATTCATCTCTCCTTTCAACTAACATTGTGATGGACTCAACTATTCTATTGATGTCCCTCAATAACCAGTAAATGAAGCTAACAACAATGGGAGATCAGTTATCAATGGATTTTAAACGCATCAAGAGTTTTTGATTAAGTTTTTAAAAGAAAACCCTCAATGAAAATATTTATAATAAATATACTAGATATAGATCTGACATGCTTTGTTGCAGAAAGGCAGAAATCAAATATTTTTTTATGGCCTTACCCATAACCACATCACATCCATTGTCAGGCCAATTACTCACTATAAGTAATAAATATTCTTTATTTTTCAACATGCCAGTAATTATGAAGTTTATGGGAGCGGTAATGAGGCACTTTGTAGTCTAGCATAATATTTTTTGACAATTATAATTATAATTCAAGTCGTTCTATTCAGTCAGGCTATATTCTCCAACATAAAAAGATTGCAGGGAAAATCTAAGAGAAAATTACAAAATAAAAGGACATATCGGGGATCAGACAGGGGAAAGTAATGCAATCAATCAAGGATATTGAAAAGGGTAATAGAAAGAAAAATGGTTGAAAACTCCGGCTTTATAAAAAGTGTTACTGTAGCCTGTAACCGGCCCCGTGTGTAACCGTCAGTGCATGTTAAAGATCCCTTGACAGTTGGAAATCAAAAAAGAGCAGGCTAATGCTGCTGTCCTGGCAAAATTTCCCTCATTGCACCCTGCATGGCATTGCCGCCTTCATTAACTCACATGGTGAAGAAAATTAGGACGTAAAACTCCATTCATTTCATTTCCTGCTTTATACAAAGGCATTTACATGTAAATTGGTATCACAAGAGACAAGAAAATAATTGGAAAATGTCAAGCTATCTGAACCTAATAGCAGTTATAAATATGACCTAATAAACAACATTAAATATAATATTAGGAGTAGGATATAATAATGTTAGGTAATTAACACTAATTAAGATGTAAGGACTAATTAAAATATAATATCTACATTAATTACAACATGTCAACATTTTTTATAACAATTAATTACTTTTTTATTCCATGTTTATATATTTATACCATAAGAACATTTTTCTGTTTTGTTTCTATTTGATATTATTCATATAAAATCAAGAAAGATTCAATATACCTTAAACCATCTTCACAATGTCAAGCTATCACGAACCTCGTCTTATACCTTGACTGCAATAGCTGCTGTTCTTGTATCAAGGAAGTTTGTATATGCAACGATTTGATTGGATTGTATGCTAGCAAATATAGCCAACGACAGACAATAATATTTATAGTCTGTATAGACTGTATTTGCTAGTGTACAATCAAATCAAATCGCTCCATTCCATAAGACAAGAAAGGTGGTTATTGCAGTCAAGGTATGTTATAAGATGATGTTTGTAAAAGCTTGACATTGTGAAGATGACCGTAAATGTAATAACAGCTTGAAAGGACTCACTGGAATCATTGTAAAGCTTTGAAAAGAAAAACGCTATGACATGCTTCGAAACACTTTCTTTATCAAATGCAGTACAAACGCCTGTCAGCGTAAAAGAAATGACTGGAATATCAGGAACAATAGCAATTTTCTTGTGTATTGATATTGTATACAATATGGTAATTGCCTTCTGCTGTAGAAAGCTTAATGCATTGAATGCAACCAAACAGACAAGCTGCACATTAACATCTTAATTGTTCTCAATGGCAGATGGCGTGTGTTTCTATATGTAGCTAATTTCATTCATTCAGTCCTTTTCTCTCTATTTTATTGATTTATCATTAATTCATTCTCAATCTCAGTTCTCAGCAGACAATAGAATAATAATTGTATGAACAGATCAATGCAGCTAATTCAAGTGCATGTCTAACCAAGTTTACTGATTTATATCTACCAGTCTTTACTGACCAAGGTGTGTAATTTCTAATGCATGGACTGCATTTATCAGTTGAATTTTATTGAAAACTACAAAATATTGATTTTTCTCTGTCACTTTTTGTGCAGCATATTTTAAATAAAACTATGACAGCTTTGTAGTCTACAAAATAGATTGTTAATATCAGATTTGCTGTATTGTCCATTCATGTGTGACTGAAGCTCTATAACACCAGTTGAGAAGATAGTTCAGCTATTAGTAGATTTGCATATTGAAATACAAAATTCTTTAGAAACATCTATTTATTGTCTCTGCAACAGAGATGTCTGATAAGAATAGTGAAAATAACCATATCTCTGGCTCTGTTTGAATTCTGAATAGTTAATAAAACTTACATATAACTCATTTTTGTTTTATTTCAGAGAAACTGACCAAAGATTAATTTTAAATTTTGTATCTTGAAAAAATAGTGCTTCTGTAAAAATGTATTAACCCATAGTAGCAGTATATCAATAAAATTGTTATTACTTTGTCAATGAGAGATACCAACAGTAGCAGTATATCAATAAAGTGTTATTACCTTGCCAATGAGAGATTGATAACTAATTTTGTATCAAGGATAAAGCTTCTGTCAAATGTATTAATCCATAGTAGCAGTTTATCAATTAAAGTGTTATCACCTTGCTAATAGCTATGACCTTTTCTCAAACTGCAGTCAGTCTAAAATGGATATTTAACACCATGTGTGTATTGATCTATTGACAGTTGTCTGACAACAAACATCACACACGGCAGTCAACTTCCATCCTATTGTCACTGACATGTCACTCACTAACAGACTGACATCAAATTGACAACATGACTACTCACTGACGACATGTGTTATTCATATATTGATTATAGTAGCCTGAGGCAAGTCATTTATACATAGATCTACTCGGTCAAAAATTACTTTAGAAGGCCAGTGGTCACCCTTGAAAGAGTTTTATTAACCTTTATAAAATATCATCCACCATCTTAATTTAATTACATATAGGTAACATTTCTTAAAATCCATTTAACACAAAGAAAAACAATAAAATTGTTAATGCCACTTTGACAATATCAGCTGGACATGACAGGCAAACAAACATGTACATAGTAGATATGATATAAAATATATCCAAATATATTCAAGCCATCATTCCTAAACATGACATTTTGAAGATAAAATTTTATTTTTTATCAATATATACTTTTCCAATTACTCAATGCTTAATGAACAATTCTACTATTTCTAAACTTAAAATTAAAAAAAAAATACCATAGAAACTCATCCTTTTTATAAATAGATTAAATTCCCCTAGAAAATCAATTTCGCCGCGGGGAATAAAACAGAATGAAGTGAGAATATTTTCAACTCTGGAATTTATTGATTTTATTACTCACATTGTTTCAAACAGTTTACAATGTACAATCAATTCTGCAATTTCATATAGATTTATAAATCCAGTTTCTGCAATCTTATTGTAAATTCTTGAGAGAAAAATTTCAGAGCACAATGGAATTTAGCCAGATGTGGGAAATATTTAACCCACATGGCTTTAGTTCCATTCAAACTAAGGAATTAAAAACAGCAGCTTGCAGCCACCAAGCATTATGGCATTATAATAATGATCTCATCGTTCTACACGTGCGCTCCTGAAAAGAACTCTAAAATTTCAAAACAAAAAATATCTACAGTGTCTAAAAACATAAGTCGAATAATTTGCGACATTAAAAAATTCACTCACCCGAAAATTGTAAGAGATATCCTGTTTTTAGTGGTTTTCACTCTGTATCAATACATTGACTGACAAATCTTTGATGTCGCCGGCTTCAGAGCTCGCGCGTGTCTAATTATAGATTGAGAATTTTAACCAATCAAAATTCAGCTACTTACCGAGCCCGATCCTGCAGTTATAAACAATATGGAGGACAAAAATGTAAACATTCTTTTGGATACGACGATTTTGTGAAATTTTAGCATGTAAAAAACGACCTGATTATTGTGAAAATACACTGACAGAATCGGACATCACTGCCTTTCAAAATGGTGAAACAGACGATCAAAATTTTTGCCAGGGTAAAGCCAACCAAAGCCAAAGCTTGTGTAAGTAAAAAACTCCTGTTTAATCCTCAGCCAATCAGTCAAGTTACAGTGCCACAATCACTGTCAGCCAGAAAAACATCTTCCCTACCCCATCTTTAATCAGTCTCACCTTGTTTAGATTTTGTCACCCCTCTTCACCCACTCAGCATCACCACTCTCAATACCTAGAGACTATGGGTTCAAGTGATAAGTTTCTCTCTTATTTGAAGATTCCTCACAGATAAAAATTCTATTTCATTATATATTGATATTAGATGCAAATAATAATTTAGTAATTTTATTTATATATTTTTCCAGTTATATGAAATAGATGAAGATGATCAAGGATTACCAAAATTAACATTTAATGTACCTAGAGAATATGCTGATGGTTTTATCAATAATAAAAAAGAAAACTACAAATTCAGGTAGGCTTGACCAGCAAACCTTTAAGCACAATAATTTAAATGACTTAAGCTCTCGTCATAGGTTTAAGATATGAATTCATCATCAGTAAGTTCATTTTGATTTTCCTAAAAATTTGGACTAAGTATAGCCTATGTACCATGTTTTTTTAAAAAGAGAAATTTGTTATTTTCAATTTTGTTATATATGTCTTCATAGTTAAAAGAATGTGTTTTATGTTTTTCTAACAGATTTGACAAAGTTTTTGATCAAAAAACCAGTCAAGATGAGATTTTTGAAAATGTGGCTAAGCCAGTAGTTGACAAGTAAGTATGTGAGTTATTGATATATTATATATCATATATCAGCCATTTTCGTCTTCAGATTGAATGCACCAAGTATTTTTGGTTTTGATATTTAAGAAAAGTATTTCTTTTAACATTGAAATTCTTTTAGTCTGCAAAATATGTTTTTCTGCATTACCAAATCGTATATCTGTCTTTTTTATCAGATTTAAGAATTAAGGAGAGGATACAATAGGCAAAAGCATGTTCCCTGATCCTATTATGTAAAAAAGTATTCTTTAGAAAAAAATAATTGAATTAATTTCAATCTCTTAGGTGTTTTTTTTTTTCATTATTTCAGTGCTCTACAGGGTTATAATGGAACAATATTCGCCTATGGACAGGTAAACTTAAATTCATTAAAAACACATTCAAGCTAGGCTCTGTAGTTGCAGTGATATTAATACAATGGAAAAAACAGTCATGATAAATTTTTCACTTGAACAAAATTCATAATTGTAAAACCAATCTCAGTATAACTTTCCAATGATTGACAATTTTCAGATAACCAGGAGTTAACCCTAGTAAATGTGTAATATTCTGTATCTCATAGGAAGAATGTAAAAGATATGATTTTCTGTATATTGTAGACAGGTAGTGGAAAGACGTTCACTATCACTGGTGGAGCAGAAAGATACGTAGATCGTGGTATTATACCAAGAATACTGTCATATATCTTTGATAAAGTCGAACAGGTAATATGATAAAATATTTATATCTTTGACTAGTTAAGTAAATCAGAATGTAGTCTATTTCATTCAAGGGTTCAATATGGAATTGGCTAGACTTGCACAATCTGTTGTGTGGTATTATACCATCATAAATTAACTGAAGCCTTCTTGGTTTTGATTATGTTGGAAACAGAAGTAATGAAGTTTCATCAATTTTCCACTCAATTTTGTATTGCATCAATAATTTTCTACATCCAGGCTACATCCTTTAATGACTTCATCTCAATGACTTCATCAGTAAGAGTTCGCACATCATGCTCCATATATCAATATCTAAGATATTGGTCCGAGTTTTTATCGTGATTACAGTATATCAGTCAGCTCTTCCAATAGCAATGATAGCCAATCATCCATATCGTAGAATATGAAGTTCATCAGCTCTCATGTTGTATTGCAGGAACCAGACCTGACATTTTCAGTACATGTATCCTATCTTGAGATCTATAATGAAAGCGGCTATGATTTACTTGATCCCAAACATGAGGCAGCTAAACTGGAAGATTTACCGTAAGTACTGATTAGTTGGATTATTTCACCTTATTTGTGCCACCTGTAAGAATTGTCATAAAATATTTTTGCATTACAAACTTTATAAGACATGATACAAAAGTATACAAATATGACTTAAATTTCACTTTCTAACAAGAAGAACTTGTTAAGAAGTTGTGGTTGGAGTATTTTTCACAGCTTGGGCCACTGGTACAAAGTTTATATGCAATATTGTTAGGTGTAAATATATTTTCAGTAAAGTTTCCCTAATGGAAGACAATGATCAGAATATACATCTGAAGAATTTATCAGTACATCAAGCTACCTCGGAAGAGGAGTCGTTAAATCTGTTATTCCTGGGTGACACCAACAGAATGATTGCTGAGGTAGGGTTAGAACGTTTTTAAAAATATAAAGGCTACCCAGGTTAGTAGATAGTAATAGATATTATGAATAATGATGGAAACCTAGCAAAGCAGACATGGACACATTGGAGTGCATCTAGTGAAGCCATGAGGAGGCGAATCAAGGAATGACTTTGGATACAGTCTCATGATTTACTTAACATTGTATATTTCAGACTCCAATGAATCAGGCTTCTACTAGATCTCACTGTATATTTACCATACATCTTACAGTCCGAGAAACTGGGTCTGCTACAATACGAAGATCTAAACTACATCTTGTAGATTTAGCTGGGTATGTTTTAAAGCATCATCTCTTAGCCTAGAACCTGTGTTTCTCAGTATTTATATATTTTGAATTAGATTCCACATTTTGATACTCATGCCATATAAATGCCTGCTTTTATAATATTTTATAATTCTATTGTGTTCTTATTTTGTAGATCTGAGAGAGTGTCTAAAACAGGAGTAAATGGTGTTTTATTAACAGAAGCTAAATATATTAATCTTTCATTACATTTCCTTGAACAGGTAAAACTTTATCATTTCAAAAATGTAGAAAATTAAGTTGTTTTTGTAGACTTTCTTAAAAATTTGTTTGGTTAATAATTTAACTCTCCAGATATCTTTGAAAGTGGTTCATTAAACCTATATTTGATGATTTTGTTATTTGATAATCTTCACCATTATTGATATGATATTATACGACAATACCATTTATTTTTCCAGGTTATAATTTCATTATCTGACAAGGGGAGACAACACATACCCTATCGTAACTCTATGATGACGTCTGTATTAAGAGATAGTTTGGGTGGTAACTGTATGACAACTATGATAGCTACTTGTTCAGTGGAGAAGAAAAATGTAGATGTAAGTATAACATGTGACATGCACTCAGAGATGAAATAAATAGATTTTCACATCCTACTTTTCTGCATCTAATTTGGCCAATGAGGATGGGAGACAATTAGTCTTCTGTTTTTGTTAATTCAAACTGTCGAGGGATCTTCATTATGCACAGTCAGTAGCACACTAGGCATCAGTCTGTTGTCCCATCCGAACGATTATATTTTTTGTCCATGTCAGTCCCTCTAATCTGGATAATAAGAAAAATTGTCAGAGTTGACGGAGTTCATTAATACAGTCAATTACATTTGACTAAAATAACAGGTGAAAAGATGCGTGCTATAGTCACTATTATGCTGTATACATCATTTAACCTTTATAGGAATCTATATCAACATGTCGGTTTGCCCAGCGTGTAGCTATGATCAAGAATGATGTTTTATTAAACGAGGAACTGGATCCTAAATTAATGATATTAAAATTAAAACGTGAAATCCAATCATTAAAAGATGAATTAGCCTTAGCTACAGGGGAACAGAGGAGCGAACAACTCACTGAGGAAGAACTTGAGAGGTAGGGTTTATTTTTTTTAGATTTATTCAAGTGAAAATCGGACCCTGTATCTCATAAATTTATCACATGAAAGTGTTGAAAATCGTCAGTTTAAGCACTTAGTTTAAACATGCCCGAAGATCTGGCAATTTAACAGTATAGTCAGGTCCAGTGTGCTTTAGTGCCTGTAGTAAGATTCCTTGACAGCTGAATAACAAAAAGTTTATAAATATAGAAATATTAAAACAGAACCTGAAATATGTTGTTCAAATTCTTTGAAGGTGGCGAAGGATTCTGCATGAAATTGTCACCTAAATTCATTTCATATGCCATATCGATCAATATCATATATGTTTGTATTAAAGATGTGAAGAAGCAGTGAATAACTATATTAACGATGCCGACCCTGAGGCCATCTTGTGTGTCGGAGCTGATATGAGAAAAATACACACTTGTTTTCAAATATTGAAGGTAAGTAGTATTTTATTTTTATCTTTACTTGTTTTCATTGGCTCAACCTGAAGCAGCAAAGTAAGATTTTATTTTATTTAGATTTAAAAATTCAGTGGTCTTCCTTATATATCTGTAACTGTATAACTTTAAAATAAGTTCCTCAGTGAGTTTGCAATGTTACCTTAGCTGAATTTTTTTTATATTTCTAGCGTCGTTTATCAGAGAAGCCAGTCAGTAGTAAAAGTAATACACCACCAAGGGAGGTAACTCCAGTTGATACAGGTCCATACAATAACTCGGAGAATCAAAGATTAAAAGATATAATATTACAGAGAGACAATGAAATCAGTATCCTTTTGTTCAAATTCAATATCAATTGGAAACTTTGTTACATCTTTTTGACAGAATACCTTGTTTTTACATAAAAAAAAAATCTTGTGCATTTTTTGCCTCTGAGCATTTATGCTACAGGCTCTGCACGCAACAGATCCATCAAATAGTTGGATGTCAGAAAAGAGAAGGCCAATGCTACAGTCCTGGCAAAAATGTTGTCATTACATACTGCATGGCTCTAAAGCTCTTAATTTCATTTCAAAACATCAACTTCAGGTAGAGACCAGGATAGTTTCGGGGAGACATTTAAAAATGTTTTTCACTGGAAAACTTTCATATTAGTTTCCTTAACCAAGTTTCAGATATTTTAGTGAATATGTTGAAGAAGGAGAAGAAAAGAGCATTAAATAACAAGATGGCCGACAATGACAGGTCGAGGACGCCTAGGAGCGAGGCAGGTGATATGAACGGCCATGACAGTATGTCAGATAGACGGAGACACAGTCAGCCAGTGACACCAGTTAAACAATCTATAGATGAAGAAAATGAAATGTTAACAACTAGTCGTAGAGAAAGAGAGAAGTTAAAGTTGAGACAGGAAATGGATGAAAGACGGAAGACAAAAATCTGTAAGAATTTTTAATACCTAAAAGAGTAGTTTTAATTTAACACAGAAATCCCCATATCCCGGTTTAGATAGCTGAAGATGAATTTATCACTAAACATATACCTGCATCAATAAGAATCAGTGCTGTTACGGATAATAACAGTACGGTACAAAATACATTGTAATTAATTATTAATACATTTACATTAATATTTACTCTACCCTGAATCAAAATATACTGTTTTGGTAAATTAGTTGCTTGCTCGCTAACCTGAAGATGCCAATAAAACCAAGGCCCCATATGCGAGAGGCTTTCCACATTAAAAATCTCTTGACAGTTGGCAATTGGAAAAGAGTAGACTAATGATGGTGACCTGACAAAATTTCCCTCATTGCACATCTTCATCTTCCCAATTAGGTGTAGTAGAATCTTTCTCTTGTCCACTACACAGCACTGCTTGACTTGTTTATATTTCAGTGGGTATGATGTCAATGGGTCTTTTTGTTTGGTTTCCTCATACCAAATTAACGTTAGTTGGCCTTTATAGGGATGGATTCAATTACTTTGTTACCTGACGCCTTTTTTCAGTACAATCCTTACATTGTCAACAACATAACATTGCATTTGTTCTTTAGCCTTGTATTCTGTATATTTCAGTGGGTAAGATGTCAATGGGTCGACAGGAAGCGTTTGATATTTTCTTACGAGATTACCAACATAATGATTCTATAGAAGAGAAGAAGGCAGAGCTGAAGAAAAAGTATTCGAAAGCTAAAATATTCGGTGAAAATTTAAATACAGCTAAAACTAATATCAGTAAGTATTGGTTTATATTGAAAAGATCTGATAAATAACTATGGCGACACATTTTTAGATACTTTTGAAATGACTTTAGTGTTGATAAACCCATCCAAACCATGCGGCCCCCAGAGACCCCCAACCAACCATCCTGATGTTATTATCATTAACTGTATTTTTTGTAGATCATTTAAAAGGTCAAGTTGGACAACATAGAATGCAGCTAGCTATGCAAGGTAGGCAAGGTTACTACAACTAAATATCCAAAAAATACACCCAATGGTGGCTTTTGTTTGACCAGATTTAGATGCATATTAACAGACCTCCAAAATGCTTATTTTAGGATTTAGAAATATTGGAAATCTAATTGGATTTGAGAAGATTTAGGGATAGGTAAATGATGATCCTAATCCTATTATTATTATTATTATTAGGATTAGCAGATCCTGACAACCCGGAACCAGATGAAGTAGAACAAGAATTGAGAGAACAAATGGAAGATGAGAAACAACAGTGAGTTTATTTCTATAGCACCAGCCTGGCAATTTAATGTACAGAAATATCAGTATCACTGCATGATCAAGAGGTTTGGAAGGGGATGAGCTAGCAGAAAGGATCTTTGGTTCCAAAGTTTGATATTAGATGTTTTGCTATTAGCAAACTCCTGCACCAAAAGCTTTGATCTGCATGTTCATTATCCATGGTTATCATGAGTTGTTATCTCTGTCAAAGGGTTCCCTCTAAATTGTCAGGAATTAACCGCATAAAATGTTCATTATCAAAAAGAAATATTGGTATCCATGCAAAATGCATTCTTATCTTAACTTTCTTTCAGGTATAAAGAAACATTTTCCAAATTAAAAACTTTAAAATCAGAGATTGAACATCTTCAGCATTTCCTAGAGAGGTCAAAGGTCAAATTAATGAAAGATTTTGAACTATGGTGGGCTGAACAAAGCTCCAACAACCAAGTATGTCTCTTGATTTCAATTGCATTTCCCATTTAATGAAATATTTAAGATTTAAATCTTTCACAAACAACTTTCCTCTGCTTTGAATTTTGAGATGTATTCATATGCCAAAGGGATTAATATCATAAATGTAATTAGAATATCACTCCATTCTTTAGTATATTTTTCAAAAACCTAAACTGATTTTTGTTGCTCATTAGAGCTGAAAAACACATATATGTATTTGTTATTGAGTGGACATAAGTCCAGCATTAGGTACAGGTTTAAATTCAAATCATACAAAAAATCTTCTCAGATAATTGCCCAGAAAGATATGAGATAAGAAAACACAATGATTTTGGATTAGTATTCATTTTCTTAACTCTACTTTAGGATGCATCATCTAATAAAAGTAGTCCAGTAAAATCAGCATGGAGAACTCCACCAATAACTCCCCAGCAACAAACCTTATCACAACGTAACTATGTACAGGAAAACATTACGCCCAGTACTTCAATGTCATCAATTTCATCTCAGCCTCTCTTAAACACGCGATCTCGGAATGACAACACCAATAATCTTGATAGTTATAGATCAAATGATTCACATAACAATAAAAGTAAACTACAGTAAGTATAATCAAAGAGTCTTTTCTCATCATTTTGCGAACTTTGTCGGATATTTGGAATATCTGACTACAATAGAGGTATTTTGCAGTTTTTTCAAAATTTGAAACAGAGCAGTGTGACACACTAGTTTGATAAATTTTTTCGGAAACGTGTGGAGGTCTGATGAGCCAAATCAATCTATATAATCAGTGGATTAATTTTCATTGTCACAAGGCATCAGGAAACTGATACATTTTTAATCCGCTGTCAAGAGTTTTGGCACCCATCATGTTCATAAGATGGTCTTGTACAAAGACAATGATATCTCTAAAGCTGCAGTTCTTATCTCAATGATTAATTAAGAGTGCACTTGTATGTTGGTGGCTAACAACTTTTCAGCCAACCCTTGTATCCATCAAAGATTTTAATATTTCTGCTGTTTCAGATCCTCTCCACCCTCAAATCAAACCAATGACATTCCGTTAACAGGGGACCCCACAGCTGATGCAGATATAATGGCATTTATAAAAGCTAGACAGAATCTACTACAGAAAAGTAAGATGGATTAGCTTTATATCTATGACTAGCATCAATGAATTTAAAGGGCAACAATCCATTTTGGGGGATGATTTGGGACTTTAAATAGTAAATCGCTAATCAATTTCCATTTCTGATCGAATGGATGGTGAGGGTTAAGGGTCAATCTTCCAATCAATGCTCCTGATAAATTCCTCAACAATTCCTTAAGAAAATCTGATGCTGCTCTTTGCGTCAGCAATTGAGCGATTGTAAAAAAATGAACAATTTTACATAAGATCAGTCTAATCATTCATGAAAGTACTATATTAATAATGGTTCTGTTTTTCAGCTCAACAAAATAGCTGATGAAGTATGATGTGTGAAAGACAAACCAAATATTGAAGGAATATTTATTAATGGTATATTTATATTGCCTTGAAAGTAATAGACAATCATTGAGCCAAAATAAACGAAAATGCTTTAAGAAGTGTCAGTCTTAATTGTAAATATTCTTGCCAAAAACCCTCCCTGGGATTTGGATTGAAGGGAAGCTATATAATATGTTAATGTGCCTGAATGAGTGACAGAGCTTAATTTCATAAAAAAAAATCTTGATGTTGATGATTTTAATTTTGTGATGAATCACTAAATTGATTAAGATTTGTCAGCTTCATATTATTTCCTTGTAAAGAGGTTTTTTTAATATTTCTATGTGTATTGCTATATAATTGTTATTACAAGAACCACAGATATCTGCCTGAATATGGAATGGTACAAATCAATGCTCTGTGTCCTTAATCCATTAAAGTCAGGGTTATGCTTTGTGAAATATGCCCTGGATCTCTTGTAGAATCCATTAATCTAAAACAAATGAGGTTGTTGAATAGAATTTTTCCTACTGGCTAGAATTCTCTGAGGGATTTATAAATTTTAAAATGGTTACAGATAACCAAAGGTGTAAGGAACATTTCTTTTGTTTTTGGAATTGGAACAGCATTGATTTAGTTATGATAGAAATTATACTTTTGTGCCTTAGTAAACAATTCTTACATAATCCGAATTTATAAACAGCATTAAACTTCATATTATGAGCCAGATCTTTAACAATATTTCATGTTTATGATAGGGGATGAAAGCTGACGCCAGCCAACTCACAGAAGCACAAGCCATCAGTTTCTACTTGTTTATGACAGGTCCTGTAATTTGTGACTTGACAATTACGTTATTTGAAGATTTGTGTATTACTTTGTTATATATTATTTATTCTATTTATTTGTTATCATAAGTCCAGCATTATTCCATCCAGCATTCAACCGTCCAACTGTAAAAACTTAATAACTTGACCGTTATACCTTTTTTGGGTAAATGAAATAGACAATGCTATAGTCAATGAATAAAATTTATGCACACTAAGTTAGTATATCATGAGGGTTCGCTATTTTTTCTTGTATGATTGTTTCTTCTCTAATTTGTAGTGCTACCACATTTACATATAAATATAAAGGCTCAAAGCTGATCAAATGCGATTTAGTATTGAAGGTCAAGGCTGGTCATGGTAAATTTTTTTTAATTAAAGGTCAAGAATGATCAAAGCCAACGCCAATTTAGTATTACATGTCAAGACAGACTAATGCCAATTTAGTATTATATGTCAAGACAGGACAAGGCCTGCTTAGTCTTAAAGGTCAAGGCCGATTTAGAATAAGAGGTCAAGGCCAATTTAGCATAAGAGGTCAAGGCAAATTAAGAATTAGAGGTCAAGGCCAATTAAGAATTAGAAGTAAAGACCACGTCTCGTTCTATATTATTCCATATCATTCCACAGACTGTCTTTTGTTCACGACTCCTTGTAGCCTGACAAATCTAGACCTACCTGTTCCGTAGGCATGATATACAAATGGAAATTAGGCTGAACATGTCAATATCACATCCGTATATATGGTTCGAGTACAGGTAGGTCTAGATTTGTCAGACTGGACTCCTTGTTACAATACTTATGGGTGTAACGCGGTCATACAATGACTAGTTTGGTAATTCAAGCATCTTAGGCATGCATGATTGTACAAAGTCTAATTATATGTAATTCTTTAATTTATTTCCATGTAACAAGGTAAAAACAAAACATTTTTAAATGGAATTCAGTATTGTATATTCAATATTAAGTTATAACAGCATTAATTCAGAATTATCCATAAAATTAACATAAATATTTTTATCATGCTTTTAGATATATAAATGTCATTATATAATATTACAATTATTCAAAAAATTTGTTCTTTATTGGATAATTTTTTAGCAGTCTAGTAGAAGGAAGAACTTCAATACACTTGGCAAGCACAAAGCCATACACAGTAAGAGGGATTGGGTAAAGGCTAGGCCAGCCTTATTACTGGGGCCAGGGCTTCCCTCAAGAAACACCTCTGCTCTTTGGGTTTCGATATCTGACAACTAACCATTTGGACAATTCAACTCTTTTTCTTTGTCAACCCCTTTGATCTACATCAGTAACAGGAAGAAACCAGATTGAAAAAATTGAGAATATATATCGGGGAATCAGGACGTTCAGGTAAACAATCATTTGTGTAATGTACTGACCATCAACAGCCTCCATTTTTGATTATGAGAAACCCAAAGTCGTATTTAGTTTTTATTTTGATAAACATGTTTGAAATAAAAGAGTTTTTTGTGCTACATCATCTATGGACAAAAGAGTGTAGTGCAAGGTAACGTTAAAGAGACAGGTTTGACCAATCGTACCTTAGTCTCAGAAACGGGAAATTCCTTCCAGTAATAGTGTTCACAGCTCGCTGTCAAAACTTGATCCTTAAAACTTATGTGTCTAGAATTATCTAATTAATTTTAAGTTAAAAAGACTCGTCTTTTCGGGTGACTATTTACATATATCCAAGGCCTATATTAATCCTCGAAAATTGCAAATCTGCTCCTTTAAAGATATAACATTGTTGCTGAACTCCCCTAATGATTCAACATTACACATTCATTCATCTGATTACATTTTTCAATACATTGGTCCAAATCAGTTTCTTGAAATTGAGTGGTGTAGGATATAGAAGACATTCACCATCTGTTGGTAGTGCAGCAGTACATTTGGTATGGTTGTAACATAGTTGTTCACAGTCATACTCCCTTGAGTCCTTCGTTGCATTCGTGGAATGGAAGTTATGAGTAAATACAAACTTGTAATAACAATCTGAAATATATATATTACTCTAAAGTTCTTTAGTCCAACAGGGCTGTTACTACATCAAGACAAATGCAACAGCCTCAAAACAAATTTGTCAAAATTAAATCAAATAAATCAGTAAAGAAGAAATTTTGTTTAAATATTAAATATATAAATCACTTGAGTGATATTTGCAAAAGGTAAGATATGTTACCACAAAAAGTCTAACGGAAGCGTTACAAGGAAAACATAACTGACTTCAAACACTCCTAGAAAACAGACCCGAGTTACAGCCCTGATCCAAGTTACTGAATGCTGGTGTGGTGTAGAACATTAGACCCACTCTGTTATTGGGGTTGTTAACTCAGCATTTTTTGAGGAAAGTCCACATAGCTAACATTATCTGTGTAATATATATTTAACATTCGATTCACTTTAATTTGAATTCAAGTATTGGTATCATACCTTGAGGTTTACAGAATAGTTTTGATATCTCCATGATCCATCTAGACATTCCATGCCTTGTTCCATTGTAGGCTAGTCTTTAACACATGTAATCGTGACATCTGGATCTCCACAATTGATGTCTGTATTGAAATACGCATTTTAAACATCAGGATACCTCATACAATCTGAAAATAGCATTTTGATATTTCAATTTCATGCTTTAAAGTGGTGCTATGTAATATTGAAAACGTGACATAAGCTTATAGCAGTCAGTCAACAGTCTGTCTGTACAAAATAACACCATACAGGTGGACCTCATAGTTTTTAAAGATAAGAAATTGCAAATAAAAATAATCGTAAGTAAAAACATAAAATATAGTGCCACGTATGCATAGAATCAAATGAAAATTGGCCTGTGTTGTGGAACCTATGCATAATTTGGCGCTATTGCCTCATTTGTTTACATTTTGTGAAACCATGAAACCCTATAAAATTGCAATAGAAATGATAAATCCTGTGATATTTCATATCATGGGAGGTTTATATCATATAATCCGGCATAAACTTACATTGAGCTTGGCTAAACCTGAAGGGTTGGAGAAGTTTTACAGTGATCAATTGGATCAATTTGATATAATACTTTTCTACTCTCCTTACACAGAAGAGTTGTAAAGAAAGATAACTCTTGACATAACTGAGCTACGCTTCAGACCACAAATACAAAGTATAATCAACGGCACGAAAGAAAAGAGGTTATTCTAATATACGACTCTGTGTATAATGTTATCAAATGGTAACATTACATGATTTATGTCTAACAAGATTTCTAACTAGGCTACGCTATTTACTTCTATGTATCTACTTGATCAACCCGAGTTTGTTATTTAAGGGGAGACTTAAAAAGTAACAGAGTATCTGTACATAAGTTTTCCAAAGCCAATAAAAATCATACCAAAACGTAAACATTTATAATAGTTTGGTCGTTCTAACGGACATATTTATTAACTTTCAAATAGGATAAGTTACACATTTCTCTACACTTCTGTCAATAGTTTTTATTAATTTGAGCCTCCAACTTTCCTAACAAAAACATGTAAAAAATAACCTACTGTATAAATCAAATCTCCATTTCCCATTTAAAGATAGCTGAAGATGTCTTAGGGCTTTGTTAGTGCTGTGTTAAAACACAGAATAAAATAACTGAAGCTTTCTTTAACATTCTCATTTGAATCTTATAGACATTTATCAAAATATCAAAAACCTAACTCCAAATTCAGAATATATAAAATAAATTGACCTATAAAGGTATACCTGAATCAATAAGAATTAGTGTTGTTACGGATGACAACAGTACCTACCAAAAGTAGTTATTCATGGTTCTTAAGTTTCCAATGACTTCCAGCCGATTAGATGTTGCCTTAATCAATATTTGATAACAGCAGATGTGTCATATACAAAAAAAAAAAAATAGCTCGAAGCATTTTTTTCCATTATCCAACAGCAGAGGTTAAGATATTACTATGGTACATTGACTTTAACCTTTGGGCTAATATTGAATCACTGCAACTCTCATAAAAGCAAAATATGACGTAATTTGGAACAGGGAGAAAGATACTAAATAATACAAAACAAATAATTTTTAAATTTATTCACTTCTGCATGATTTTAACAATCCATTTTATAATGAACATGAAAATCAGTAACATTGTAATTGCCAGTGTGATAAAACAATAATTTGTACCAACAATAGAATGTGGCCTGTCTGAGGGATTGAAGGGATTATAATATTTATTATAACTTAATTTGTAAACCAGCAAACCAGTAAGGTCCAAGTTTTCGAAGATCTGTATTCACAATTCAACCATATAAGTGCTATATATCTGATTAAAATTCTAAAATATTACACAGAAAATTTCTAAGCAATATCACCAGCTAATGTAATATGCTTCTTGGGGTAGAGAGGTTTTTGAGTCTTTGTATGAGTATCTGGTACACTTTAAGTATCAATTCATGACTTTACCATCACAAATGCCATTCGAGCCAAAAGTAGTTCTTGCAATACTGTTGTCACTAGTTTTTCTTGAATTACAGGAGCCACAGTCATCAACTTGGAAATCAAATTGATGAAATGGAAGCAATAAGTGGATCCAATATTCATACAAAGACTGGAAAACGTATTCGCTACTCTTTTACAACATTTATGAAAGACAAATTATCATCTTAAACAATCCTAACCATTGTCAAATGACTTGTAGGCGTTGATAGTTCAAGATCACTTACCACAATATAAACACACACTATCACCCTCATATCAGATCACAAACACATGGCATACATGGTTCAACATACATCCAATCACAAACAGTGTCTTAACAAGTAACTACCTTCAAAAAACTGACTAACTTGAATAAGTAATTTTCACTCAACCCAGTTGTAAATGGGTACGGATAATCCAGGAAAGATAAATGCCAAGGATCCTTAATTGTGAACCTAAGTTGTTATCCTTGTAAAATAGAGTTGTTTCTTTCTATCTTTTAAAACTAAATGTCATGAAAATAAGCTTGTATCACATTAGGTCTTTCATGATTGGTCATTATCATCTAACACTTGATTGAAAATTGGAATCGTACAAACTGATGATATCAGTATCCCTGATAAACACAAAATATTTAGAAAACCTCTTTACAATCCCTTAAATGAATGACATATCCAACATAACGAGATAAACACAAAACAGAGAGACAATAGGAATAACAATAAAAATCTTAAACAAAACAATGGAATGACAGGGGAGGATAAAATCTAAATGACACATTTGGTAGCTTGACAGATGAAAATGAATTGCTAGTGCCATTCTCAAGTGACACAGTGTGCTAACAAGTTGAATCTTCAATATGTTTAAGAAATTTTATTTTATTTTATTTTATTTAATAACAGAAGAATTCAAATTTAAGTTTGGCTTCAAGCTATAACAAGCTAATGTTTCATAGTAGAAAAAGACAGTAACAATAGAAAAAACAGAAATTAGACAGAAAAAGAACATAAAAATTGAGAAGGACAAGTTTAGCAATAATAGTCAAGCATAATATCTATAATTGGGCACAATGCAAATACATATACATAAACGCGCTAGTATAACAGGAAATAGAAATGTGTGTAGTGTGATCATTTCACTTAGTTTACAAATGCAGATTATGCTTGAGTTGTACCTAGATACCCAAATATCAACTGAGACAACAGAACAAATAAAGATATCTACAAAATTATGTTAAGGATATATTGTTAAAAATTTCACATATCACAAAACAAAATCAAATGAATTCAGTTCATTTTGATATTTTGATCCAAGAAAAACATTAAACTGTTCATTTCATGATTATATATAGATTAGTACAGTATAGATTATGCATTTAAAATATTATGGTCTTAGCTTTGGTACTTTATGAATAATCCTGAAACAAAAATATACCATCAATTTGCTCTGGCTAACTGATATATCAGGCTCTTCCTGAACAAGACAGAACACAAATATCACTTATATGAAACAATCTCACAAAGAGAAGTTTCTCTCAATGAAATTAAAAGGCAAATAAATTTTTACACTAAAGATTTTGCTGTAAAATATTTTAATGTTTTTATGGAGAAATTTCATTGCTACACAACAAGAAATGATTTCATTGTTTTTTTTGTCATGATGTGCTAAAAAAATATCACAATAATGAATATTCTACATTATTCTTAAAGAAAGTATGCAAATTTATGTAAATTTATGCAAAATTTGTTATATAAACTAAACACATTATTTTTAGTACCGGGTATTTCTGTTTTTTTAAACAAATAATGAAAGAAATTGGCATCATTGCATAATTCTAGAAAAACACAAAAACACTCACTAACATATACTAGGACGCAGTAAAAATTTGTCTTTTTCATAATATTCTAAAAATTTAACTTAAAAATATCACATGGGACTAATCATTAAAACTAGATGAGTTGAAATTTAATATTATCTTGGTATATGATGATATGGTATTGTTTTAAGAACTTCTCCCATGCCCTTCGTACGACCTTGACGGAATATCAACCTTGACCCCACTCGGATAAATTCGGGTTGTTTTATTAATTTGAACATCACTCGGGCTTTCTGATTTGTTTTGATATTTGCCTGAAAATACAAAATAAAAAATTTGTCCAGCTTTTGTATGTGATCAGCAGAACTGAATGGAGGTTCCGAGTTTCATTTCAGCATAGGTTGGATTTGTCTTTCAGCTTTCAGTGATTAAGTCTGTGGCACGTAAATTAGGTATCTAGCTGTTTGGGTTGGATCCAAGGATTGTGTGCACATGATAGGACCCGCTACAACTGATTATCAAGACAGACAAAATTATTCTCATAGCATACTGCAAGACAATGACTGTAGAGTAAAGTTTACCTGGTTTATCTGAGTAATAATAGCTGTCTGACAGACTGTTCCTATATGTAATGTGGTTTGAAACCCAACAGTAATCTGACTAGCATGATATAATACATAGATATCAGCTTCAAATTCCATACATGATATAGGCTTCACTTCTGAACTCACTAAAACCATTCCCTGGAATAAAATGTAAAATATTTAACATATTTCAAACATAGAAGCTTACATGCTATACTTATGATATACATGATATAGGCTTCACTTTCGTGCTTACTAAAACCATTCCCTGAAATATAACACGTAGAATACTTGGAACATATGGTTAAATTTGATGCCATTCAAAGAGACGCTAGTATGGTGCATACACAATGTAGGGTTCATCTCAAAGCTCATTTAAACCATTTTCTGCAATATCATAACCTACATACTAACATTATATTTTATATACATGCTTAGCTACTGAGATTATGTGATTGTAAATTTATAACAAAAGTTATCCATTGATTTGGTACTTCCCCCCCCTGTATACCTACGGGTGTATCACTGATATAGCTTAACAATCATTAGATCAATTGAATATATCACAATCCAGCTTAACAAAAGCTGACCCCCACCTTTCTAAGTTCTGTTCTGTCTATATCGTGTAAGGCTACAGTAGCTGAATGGCCGGCCTGTATGTGCAGACAAGGGAGACGATTCCTATACACTGTTTTAACTTGAACTGGTTTAAATTCTCCAAATTCTGATGGTCCTAATAATAATTCATCTTTTTCTTTAATTGATCCCCTGAAAGAGAATGTTACTATTTGTATTTTCTGTGTATTGAAATAGAATGAAATGAATGGAGTATTACGTCTTACTTTCTGCACCAGATCGAGCTATGATGATAATGATGAACATGCACAGCCTGTTGCACACGGGACCTTAGATCATTCTGTCATCCAAACAAGGCTTATTCAAGGTCACCAGACTTTCACAAGCTACAATTCAGTAGTGAGTACAAGCCACAGAATTATGAAAGGGGGGAGGGATTTGGGAGGGGGACCACGATCAGAAATTTTGAATGTGGAACAATGCCAGGCCAGTCTCAGTTGTACTTGATGTCTGGATGTAATTAACAAATAATGAAGACAGACCTATGAATTGTTCCCCCTACAACACAGCCTACTCCTGGTACATTGTATAACTTGTCTATCTGTAACATAAATATATCAAAATAACAATCTTAGCTGTAGATTCTCTGAAAGGGATGCCAAGTTGACAAATCTAAAGACCACACCATGCTCTATCTATAATTTGTTTTCTATTTTGACCCACTTTCGGGAATATTGATTTGAAAAACGAAACTCAAAAATATAAATTTTCTCTGTAAATTGCTGTCAAAGTCATAAAAAGTTTGAAGTTAAAGTAATACTTGATGTCTACAAACCCATACTGCAAAGTGTATTGTTATGCATTACTTTTATTGCCACAATATATCATTGCATGATTGGTAATACTGTTCATTATATTGGTGTCATTTTGGAAAAGTTAAAGTTCTATAAAGTAAACAACCAACCTGAAATTGTGTATGATCTTGAACCAGTTTTTCTCTCTCATGTCGAGATTTTAATGGAGGTAAAACGTTGAGAAATTTTATAAGTAGATCTAGATTAAGACCAGTTACACTGGAAACTTGGAAGATGGGAGTTATTCTGGAAAATAAAAGCAAAATAATAAAAAAAAAATGCAGCGCTTTTCCTTTGCATTCCATTTAAAATAAGAGTTTGATGATGTAACTGTCACAAAGGCCCTATTGGCAGTTTTTAGAACCACAGACCTCTGACTGAAAATTGGAATGGTGCAATTTGCTGCTATAAATGGCCCCAATACACTTAATAATGTAGAAAACCTCTTTACAATCCGTTTAATATTTCAGTTCACTTACTTCTCTGAATCAAAAGTTGTAGCTGCAGTGATAGCATCATCATCATTTTCTATTCTCATTGGAACTTTTTTACAACCAGGAGATTTTAATATATGTTCTAGCTGCTTTACTGTTTTTTCTATCACAAATTTTCGACACATATCAACTTTGGTTACCACGACAAAAACAGGAACGCCTAATGCTAGAGCAAATCCTAGATGTTCCTTGGTTGTCCCAACTGAAACAAGTAATATTATAAATTAAATAAAAGGAATCTTGGTGAGAAATGTAACAAAAAAAAAAAGAAGTTATAAACAAGTGGGGAATGGACTTCTTAAAGTTCAATTGTTTCAAATGATAAATGTCTAGCTGTCATTTGGTCTATAGAACAGTTCAGATCAGAAAAACAAATCGTAGGTTTGGTTGAGCTACACAATTTTTGCCTGTGATGTCTCTTTGACATAGTAATAGGGCCTCATACCTATTCCTGTTTTTGGCTCTAACAAATCAGTTGGTTGATATATGTAGAGTTGAGCTCCGCTTCCGTCAAGGCTATTACCATTCAAGTCTAAGTTTTAGCTACACAATGACTGAACAAAATGTAATTTAATAGTAACATACCCATTCCTTTATTGGCACTAACTACTAACATAGCGAAATCAGGGGAATTCCCTGTTAACCCAAATATGGTTGTTTTTAAATATTTATGATGTCCAGCTAAATCTAACAATGTAATTAACTTGGTGGAGTTTTCACAGATTTCTTCTACACTTCGAGATCCACTGTAGTTTACTATCTAAAATACAGAATAATAAATTATATTTTATGGGGCACCTTGCTGCAGCAATGTACTGTCTGTCAAAATAATTTTAATTTGTTATAACCAGTAGAAAAGTACTCTTTTATCAATATCCTCTCAATATACCCTAATGCACACAGAAGAGTAAAAATATCCAACAAATTTACTTCAAATATTAACATCATAGTTGTTAACTCAAGCTACCAAAAAATTAACCTTTTTGTGGCAGGATATTAACTACTAACTCATTTAAAGTCTACCTTAATGTTTATGTTGGCCTTTTCCCTCCAATTTGTAGATTGAAATCTTGATAGGTACATGTGTACACCTTAAGGATACAAAAAACTAACCTGTCCTTTGCCATCAAAGCCGAGTATTTCATGACTAATACTAGAAGTTCTTCCTGACTGAATTTCGTGAAGATGTCGAAATAAGTTCAACCTGGCACGCCCTCGTCCATTATCCTGTTCTCCCTGAGTTAACACTCCCAATAGAGTACTCTTTCCTGCATCTACATTTCCTAACACTGCCATCCTTAGATCTATAAACTGAAATATCGACGTAAATATCCTGAATATAAAGTGTAGTGATCACAAAGTTAGGAAAGGTAGATCCATATTAATACTGCTTCATTAGCAAACTTATCAACACGATCAGCAACAGTATGACAAGGTGAAACCCCTTTGCAATATTAATGCCCTGGTCTGTGTAAGAGTTGGACAGGAATTGTTTTCTCCAATAACAAAAAAAAAAAAGAACTGGCCAAAGTCATGAATACACAAAGGTTTTGTGAAGATTAGCGGAATTAAGGCCAATAAAAATTCGCAAGCTTTGGTTTTCTTGGTTCTGGAGATTCAAGTCTAAATCAAAACTATTGTTAAATTATTGTTGAATACTGATGCCTTTTGGTCTAAACACCTTTAATCAATAAGGTGGATACTGAAGTGTTTTGAGAGACATACCTCTTGATCATCAGGTACCTTGCGAACTAAAATCTCCATCGCTCTTCTTGTCTCATTTGTATGTTCTTCTGTGATACTTCTTTCTCTTAGAATGGTAAGACTGGCTCCTAGTCTAAATCAAATAAAAACATTAACCAAAAAATGTAATTAATGACAATCATTATCTATGTACATCTTTGGGATTCATTCGCCTTTTATTTAAACTTGCTGTTTAATAAAAGCTTAAAGGGCTTAAAGCTATTACATCCCTATCAATATTAATCAAAAGATAATCTTTCACATGAACAGTGATGAGCCCTGTCCTCATAACAGGATAGTTTACATTTACTTCAAACAGAAGTTGTCATGGCAGCTAGTAGTTAGTTATTAGTGGGATCTGGATCAATTGGATAGTTTTGGTGCATATTTCATTCAACTATTGTGTAAATAATAAAATATTCCCAATCCTTACCTTGATGACATTGTGTCTAATGTTTCTAATGATGCTTCAAGATCAGAATCGTTAAGTCCTGCTAGTATTCCATTATCTTCCACCCCAATCTCATATATAGCCTCGCCATGTCCCTCTTCTAAACGCCATTTCATCTGAGTGACTAAATGTTCCAGTCTACATGATGATGGCCTGACCAAGGTTCTCTACAATGAGTAAATTTAAATAACATTTAGTGACATGCAGACTAGAATTACATGTAATATTGTGTTCTAAAACCACAGAAAATTTAAAATATCAAGATATGATTAAATTCTATTGAAAATCCTCTGTGCTAAATAGGATAATGCATTAAGGACATGTAGAAAAAAAACCTTTCATAGATTCTACTATGAAGTAAGCTTAAGTTTAAATGTTTTCATTTCAAATTTACTTTCTTACAAAGATTGTAAGAGGTTTTCTAGACTCTTTTTTTGACTTTAGATGTATTGGGTCATCAATGGCTAGTATTTGCATCATTCCATTTTACCATTAGATTCTTATAATTTTAAAAATGCTTAATCATATATAAAGTCACTACCACAAAAGTTGCTTTTAAAAAATAAAGGATCTTGGAATGATGTACATCGATATCAGTGTTATCGTTGTATTCAAAAATAATTTGAAAACTTCTGTTAAGTCCAATTAAGTCAACTTATTAATTAATCAACCCAAGATATCAGTGTATGTAGGATTGCACCACATAATCAAAGCTTTCATCATTCATATATTATGTGAAAAAATATCAAAACTAAGCGAAGGTTATCATTGCCCCACATAATTCAAGCTTTTGTTATTCCTTAGCGGTGGAAATTATTGCCAAGCATGATCCAAGCTTACATCATTCGTATAACCATAAAATTTTTCCAATATCAAAACGAAGTGAAGGTCAAGGTTATTATTGCCCCACACAATCAAAGCTTTCATCATAACGTATAGCGGTCAACATTCTTCCAATATCAAAACTAAGCCAAGGTCAAGGATATTATTGCACCACTCATAAACTTATTACAATATCGTGATGTTGTTATGAGAGATTACCAATAAATAGAATATCAGATATTAGATTAAACTTCAGTAAAACATTCTATTTGAATTGAAATAGTTTTCATGTTGAAATCCAAAGTCTCTACTTGTGACCTAGGCCAGTGCTTCTATAGGAGAGTATCTTCTATAACACCTATAACTAAACTGAGTTACATTATAATGAATGATTCTATTAAGTTATTTCAGTTACAAATATTACACCATGTCAGATTTGGAAAAAGGTGCCCTTCAAAATCTTTTGTACCGTTCTGTTAAGAATATAATGGGTTTCATATCACAATAAATATTCCTATTAAACCATATCTAAAGCTATGTGGACTCTCCGAAAGGAATGTCACCTTGATAAACCCAGTTACAGAGGATTCTTGTGCATCACTAGAACACCTAAAACATTACTTATTTTAAGAAAAAATTATGGTCAAGTCTTGGACTTAAACTTTAATACATTAAATAAACAAAATTTGCTATGTGGATCCTCTGAAAGATGAGTTGATAAACCCAATTGCAGACTCAGGCGTTTGAAAATTGTAAGCATGGTCTGCATCTTGAATTTTTCAGTTGCAGACTAAACTTATTAAAATGATTAAAGCTAACAGTGTCTTGAATTTATACTTTACCCTAAAGACAGAAAAAAGGGCCAGATATAACTTACCTTATATTCTACGTTTCCAAGAGCATCCTGAAATTACAGAATAAACAGTCTTAAAATCAAATACCAGTAAGGCTATCATGTTCCGTAAGCAACGTTATTATATCATCATATCTCAGGCTGTAAGGCTATATACCTAATACACTGATTGCTAAGTTATCAAATTAATGCCATAATGGAATCAGTAGGCTTATTCTGTACCAGGTCATTAAACAAATATCTTCATTAAAAATTCAACAGAGATACCAATTAAGGCAAATGGCAGCATATTGTTTGAAGCCAATGTTCTGTGGTAGGCTATTGCATGTACCACAATTCATATGCTCTAATGAATATTCATCAGCTGCTTCTTTGCATAATTTAAGGTCTTAAGGCCATAATATACTACTAATCATAGTATTTTTATTGTAACATTGTTCCAAATATCTGGTCTAAAATTCCTTTAAATCGAAATTGATACTTTTGCTGATTTACCATAAATAATGGCATCATATTATGACAGGCTACATTCAACTGAATTTTGGCATTGACCAGAACCTAGTTATCTAGCCCAAGGAAATCAATGGAGGGTTAATCTATTTATAGCTTGTTTATCTGTAAGTCAAAACAACATCTCAATAACAACAATGGTGGGGGCCCAAACCAAAGTCAAAAAGTGTCAACGTCAAACCAAACAAAAACAAAACAGCTGTCAAAATTTTACCTCTGGCGGTAGACTTTCAGGCAGCAAACTGTCCATCGTTGTTTCGTTAGACTCCATTTAGTGTCTGTATGTTTCTAACCAACCTCTCTATACAATGTTTATCACCATTTTGACAGTGGGATATTGTTTTGCCTGGTAAGTCACTAAAAATACATCTCAGCTGGCGAAATGTCTACGCAAGGCCGCCATGTTACATCAGCAAGGAAACGTTAACCAGTCTTCTTGTAGAAACGGCAACTGTGTGAGATGGCTGGATAACCGAATCAGTTAACCCGGAAGTAATGAATAACAGATAAGGTCAAAATCGTTCCACTTGACTGCTTCCATCTAATTTGATTCTTGATTATTCGAATTAGGCCTAGATCTAGATAATTATAGGACAATAGAATCATATTTACCATTGGGATTAACTACAACTCTGAAACGTATAAATCCTCAAACTAGGTTCAGTCAGGGACCACCACCGGGTAGTTAGATGACATCATTTTATTCTATGAAGGTTGAGAGTGGGATGGGGCGATGAGTGGCTACGGATCCGCGCCCTTTTACCATTTGGTGGCAGAGTTGGTGATATGTGGCACCATGATAAATCTTTCAGTAATGATTGATATGAAAATTTGCATTCTAATCAATAGAGTTGAACGTACGTATATTCAAAACCGCCCGTACACTGTGTCTGACGTATATATAGGCTACCTTTTAAATCCAACCTTTATATCCTATTTATTTGTATAAAATTACACCATTCTTTAGAGAAAAAAATCTAATACATTATTTAAAGTCAGATTAAAAATAATCAGGTCATTTCCTGCCCGTTATTATATTTTAAATATCAGTTCCCCAGAGAAGAATGACAGTAATTGGGAATGTCGCTATTCGGCAATGTAAGTCCTTGGATTGAATGGAACAGTAATATAAATAACATCCCATTCAATAAAAGATCTACTTTTGTAAACTTTGATGTTAATGGATTCATGATTGGAATGTACATTAGCAGTAAAAAGTACACTTATTCTTTGTCAATGCGAATATCTGACTGCTGTTCAAAGCGGTTAAATCCCATTACATGTACTTAGATGTCCCATCAGATAGACGCCCAAGTAGACATCTTGAAACACGCATAGATGGAAGAACATCAGTCTTAATCAGTTAAGTAAATTTCGGACATTTAATCATTATCAGCGTTTGAACTCAAAACGAAACCTTCCATTCATTACCAACCCTCGGTCGACCCTCTGGATAATGCTCTTTCACTAAAACTAGTCCGAACTTTGTAACTTATACATCATCTTCACAATGTCAAGGTATAACGATGTTGGTCATTGACATTGTGAACATGAAGTAACATCCGATACTCGTCTCAATATATGCTTAAAAATGACGTCACAGCTCGATATCATCAGAATGAAGATCGATGTTTTGCTTATACCGTACTGAAATGATGCAAGTAAAACGTCGAAATTAAACTGCCGTCAAATATTTCAATATGTTCTGGATTAGTGTAAACGAACTGGGATTTGATTTTCCATTTTATAGTGCTACAGATAGCCAGCCGGTGCACTATCAGCAGACCATGTGAAGGAACTATAGACATCTGACATAAAATGGAATGGTGCAAATCGATGC